TTCTTTTGGTCTTTTTGAAACAGGGTCTCCCTGTAGCCCCAGCTGTCCTGAACTCACTATGTAGACCAGGCTGGCCTTGAACTCACAGAGATCCGCCTGCCTCTGCTTCTCAAGTGCTGGGACTACAGGCCTGTGCCACCACGCCCGACACACCCAAAGAACTTTATATCCTACTACTGAGATACTTTCACATTCATGTACACTACAGCTGTATTCACAAAAACCAGGTAATGGAATCATCCTAGATGTCCATCAACTAATGAACTGATAATGAAAATATAGTACATATACATAATGGAATACTACTCAGCAGTAAAAGAATAAAATCATGAAATTCGCAGGTAGGTGGAACTGGAAAAAAAACTACACTAAGTTTACCAAGGTCCAAAAAGACAAAGGCCATATATTCTCTTTCATATGGGGGTCCTAGATTCAATTCTATGAGTATGTGTGTGTGTTTAACATGGAGTACATGTGGAAGCAAGGAAAGTAGAAACAGGCCCCTGGAGGGGTGGGAGCATGTGTTTAGGAGGAGGAAACAGAACACAGGTAAAGAGAAAGTAGAGCAGGGAATGCCAAGGGCAGAAGGGTTCCAGCAGCAGAATGACAGGGATGGAGAAATGAGGGGTCCAGAGAAGGTTGGACAAAATGAAGTGTACAGGAAGAAGCTACCCGGGAACCTATGATCTTGTCATCCCAGTTCACAACAAACAAACAAAAAGGAAATATGAGTGGATAGTACGGCATATGTGATATGAAAAACAAGGAGCAATACTAGGAGCTAAAGGTTTAAGTGGGGATCAGGACAAAGGGGAGGAGACAGGGGGGTCAGCTCAGGAGGCAAAGGCAGGCAGAGCTTTGTGAGACTGAGGCCAGCCTGGTCTACATAGTGAGTTCTAGGCCAGCTGGGGAGCAGGGAAACCTCTCAAAAAAGACAAACAACCCAATCAATAAATAGACTAATGAACTCAACAGACAGTTCTCAAAAGATTAAACACAAATGCACAATAAACATATGAGAAAACGTTCAAACTCAATAGCCATCAGAGAAATGGAATTAAAACTACACTGAAATTCCATCTCACTGCAGTCATTAAGACAAGTAAAAAAATGCTGGTGAGGACACCAACAAAAAGCCCTTATACACTGATGGTTGAAATGTAAACTCACGCAGCTACTAGAGAATATGTATGGGGATTTCTCAAAATACTGAAATGGACTTATGATATGATCTAGCTATACCACTTCTGGGAATTTACCCAAAAGTCTCTGAACACAGATGAGTCAGTGAACATAGATGCTGCTTATACATCAATAGTTACTGTAGCACTATTGACAGTAGCTAAGCTATGGAACCAAGTCAGGTGGTGAACACCGAAGGAATGGAAGAGAATGTGGTTTATATACACAATGACATTTTTTCTGGCCATAAAGAAGTACCAAGTTGTGTCACTTTCAGGAAAATGGATGCTAAATGCAACTGGAGATAATCATACGAAGCAAATCAGGCCAGTCTCTGAAAACAGTCATGTATGTTTTCTCTCATTTGTGATTCCTAGATTTTACACAGATACATACAATCACATAAAAGAAGAAGTGAAACTGTCTAGACTAATGAGAGGAGGGAGAAAGTGCTCAATAGGGAGATGAGAGGAAAACGCTCAAGGCACAGTACATACCTGTATGAAAGTGTCCTTACATAACAATGGATACACAATGAAAATTTTTTATCATTTAATTTATTTGTAATATGTTATTTATTTATTTATTTATTATTTTTGGTCTTTTTGAGACAGAATCTCCCTGTAGCCCCAGCTATCCTAGAACTCACTATGTAGACCAGGCTGGCCTTGAACTCACAGAGATCCACCTGCCTCTGCCTCCTGAGTGCTGGGATTAAAGGCGTGAGGCACCATGCCCGGCTTATTATTTTTATTTTATGTGTATGAGTGCGTGCATGCATATAATTGTACCCATGTCATGCAATGCCTGTGGAAGTCAGAAGAAGGCACGATGGATCCTCTGGAACTGGAGCTACAGATGGTTGTTAGCAGCCATGTGGGTGCTGGGAATCAAACCCTAGTCCTCTAGTGCTTTTAACTGTTCAGCTATCTCTCCAGTTCCCACAATGAAAATCTTACAAAATAAAAGTTTTAAAAATTATTTTACTCTTTCTTAATGTTATATACTTTGTGTTGACAATAGATACACATATTTCCCTATTTCAGTGGGTGGTTGTATGGTAGTTTAAGAGGTCCCAACAAACAGGTGATTGCTCAGTATGTGAGTTAAATCTACCTAAATATGAAAAGTTTAAATTAGATAACTGATTAAGAACATACACCCAAACTATTTTTCTGGTGACATCTCCCTGCCTAATATCCCTAATTGTTAAACAAAATACATGTAAATTAGGATCAAAAAAATGAGATGTTAGCTATGGAACAGAGTAAAGTTTATTATCATAGGTAGCTATAGTAGACCCTTACTATCTTTCTCAAATCAGTTGTCAACATATATTTAGTTACCACACCTGCATGTAAGACAAGAAATATGAACACAAGAAACTCAGGAAAGACATTGTGAGTTAAGAGGTACCTGAGATAGCAAGTATATTAGTTTCACTCAGTTTCTAGTTGTGTAGCCCCAGCTGGCCTGGAACTCTAGGCTGGCCTTGACCTTACAGAGATGTGCTGGCCTCTGCCTCCCAAGTGCTGAGATTAAAGGTGTGCAGCACCACACCCAATTCAATTTCCAGTTCCTTAATGTCACAAATATTTAAACTTTAGGGGGGGATGAATATTTCTTACCCACTTTATCCAAAGAAGGCATATTAAAACTTCTAAGTTCTGCTGGTCCAGAGAGTCTACCAGAACTAGAATAAAACCTGTCTTGCCTTTGTAGAGGAAGAGCTGGATCAGAATATGGTTGACCTAGAAAACAAATTTTTAGAGCATCTTCATAAGTAAAAAATAAATTTAGTTACTTATGTTTAATATATTGAACCTGGACATTTCCTCTATATCCAGAAAAGCATTTTTAAAAATCTCTGACCTAGCTGGTCACGGCAGCTTACATCTTTGATCCCAGCACTCCGGAAGCAAAGGCAGGGGATCTCTGGGAGAGAGAGGCCAGGCTGGTCTATATAGTGAGTTCCAGGACAGCTGGGATACAGGGAGACCCTGTCTCAAAAAGACAAAAAAAAAAAAAAAAAAAAAACAACTCTGACCTATATTATTCGTAGGCAATAGTAAACAATCTTAGAAAAACTACATTTACTTTGCTTTTTTATTAAACAACTATAATTTGACAATGTAGATTTTTAAAGTTTCGATTATTACATATATACATGTTAAATCTAACTATGAAACGTAGAAACCAGATAACTTGGAATATATGCAAACAGAGATTACTTAAATTCACTTAACCTGACCTCCCTCTGTTTCACTGGGCCTCAACGGCCTGCAGGCCTCTCTCTGACCGCAGGTCTCTCTCTCTGGGGTAAGTCCATCATGCCCTCTGCGCCTTGACTCCCCCAGCCTCATTCACCCTCACATCTCCGCCACAGGTCTCTCCTCCTAGCCTGGGTTCTGTCCCATTCCTTGTCTTGGCACCCCAGACACCTGGGGAACCACCACTGCTTCTTCCTGATCCTTTCCATCCAGAGCAACTCAGTTCCTTCTCAGGTCCGAAAGAGAACTCTGGGCCTGGCCCCACCCTCACCTCCCTCTACTTCCCTGGGCCTGCTCGACCAACCAACCACTTTCCTGGACGCTGGGGCTGACCTTTCCTCTTCTTGATCCTTTGTATCCAGACCAACCCAGCTCCAGTCCCCAGGAGCCCTTGGGGCCTGCTTCCCACCCCCATCTTCCTTTGTATCTCTGGGTGGCATGACCACCAGCTGCCCTAGACCAGCATCTTCCCTGGGCCTGGCTCCCAGACCATTCCAATCCCCAAATTCCTAAGGCCAAAATCTTTCCTGGAGGGATCCAGACCTTAGGAGAAATCCTGAGAGCATCTAATCCTCATGTGACTTGGGCCTCTGTGGGAACCCCTGAAGACAAAAGCAATCTGGCCACTCCAACATAAAATCAAAAGAGAGAACTGGAAGCTTAGAGGAACCAGCTTTTCATGCACAAAAAGTAAACCACAAAGACAAGTAAAGTTCACAAAAAGCAGCACACCTAAACTTAAAGGCTTGAGTCTCACACAAGATCAGAAACTACGAAAGAAATTCACATGTCAAAATCACACAGAAAAAATAGTAACATGAAAAACCAAAATAACATATCCTCACCAAATACCAATAGTCCTCTAGAGAATCCCCTAGAGATAATGCAGGACATGGAATTCAAAGGAACAATTATAAACAGGATAAAAGAAGTCAGTGAATTTAAAGAACACACAAAGAAATCAAAGAACTGAAGGAAGATAGGGATAAACTTCTCAATGAATTCAGAAAAGAGAAATATTGAATACTCAGACTGAAATAAAGAAGGAAGTGAAACACTCAATAAGCCAATTAGAAAAGACAGGAGAAAGCCTCACCAATAGGATGAATGGAATGGAAAACAGAGTACCAAGACTGGAAGATGAAGTGGACGAACTAGACCACGCGAGCAAAGATTATGAAAAATTTAAGAAATCACAAGAATGGAATATGCAGGAAGTGTGTGACACCATAAAAAGACCAAACTTACAAATCATAGGCATACAAGAAGGAGAAGGATCCCAAGATAATGGCATGGACCAGATCTTCAACAGAATCATGGAAGAAAATTTCCCAAAATTAAAGAAAGACGTGCCCA